CAACCTCTGCCTCCTGGGTTCAGGCAATTCTCCTGCCTCAGCCCCCTGAGTAGCTGGGATTACAGGCACGAGCCACCATGCCCAGCTAATTTTCTGTATTTTTAGGACAGACAGGTTTCACCATGTTGACCAGGATGGTCTCTATCTCTTGACCTCGTGATCCACCCACCTCGGCCTCCCAAAGTGCTGGGATTGCAGGCGTGAGCCACCCCGCCCGGCCCTACTCTTACCTATTCTATTTCCCCTGCCCTCATTTCTGTGTATACTTCCTGTTTCTTTATATAATTACAAATCAAAATAAATAAATAAATATGGCAGGTCATCAAATAATGTCATTTTGTCCAATGTGGTTTGTTTTAATGTTGATGAGAAGAAAAATCCATTCCTGCCTGGGGCCACTGTCTGTGTGGAGTCTGCACATTCTCCCCATGTCTGTGTGGGTTTTCTCTGGGTACTCAAGTTTCTTCCCAAATCCCAAAGGTCTGCACATTAGGTGAACTGGCTTGTCTGAATTGTCCTCATTCTGAGTGAGTGAGTGAATGAGTGAGTGTGTGTGTGTGCCCTGCAATGGGATGGCATCCTGTCTGGGGTTGGTTCTCGCCTTGGCCTTGAGCTGCTGGGATGGACTCTGGCCACCTGGGACTGAATAAGCAAGTAAATAATTTACTTCCTTGTTTGTATAAGTTTTTCTTATATGTATGTGTAGCTCACATTTATTTCAGTGGTTAATATTAGAAGTGTTCTGGTCTGTATTTAGAAGTCTGGTGTTTTTGTGACCAAGATAGGTCAAAAGAACTTAACTCTTGTTTATGTCAATTAGTGTATGATAAAGTTGGTTTTGTTATATGTCATTGTGCTTAAAGTCACAGTTTCCAGGAACTTACCTACGTTAAGAACTTACTGTGTATACGTACATATATTTACATATATATATGAGGTTTATTTATCTAATATTTATTGAGTGCCTCTTTGTACAAGGCACTGTACTGGCTTCCAAGGAGTATACAAAGAAGCATGAAACACAATCTCTGGCCTCAGGAAGCTCACAGCCTAGTTCTGTAATGAGAGCATAAGTGAACATAAAACATGGTGTTTACATGACATAGTACTTTCTTAGCTGATTTAGGCCTCAATACAAAGCATATTCAGCCTGCTAAAGGTAGTAAATACTAATGTATATCTTGGTCTTTGGGGCTAAGGTGAACTTTCTACTGAATTGTCTATCAGTCTCTAAAATATAAGAAATATATCTTATTTATCTTAATAGATTCTTCAGGACTTATGGTTTGAACAAATGAATCTTTGTTTCTTTTAAATACAGACTTCAAGGAAACTGTTTTATATATATGTGTGATATGTGTGTGTGTGTGTGTGTGTATATATATATATATATATTTTTTTTTTTTTTTTTTT